TACTGACTGAGCTATTATAACATTTTTTCCTTCGGCGAAGTTTACCGTTATATTCGAATGATATTTTTCATTCCCTGAAAACAGGGATAAAAGGATATTTTCTAAAAATAAAGCCTCGCTAGATCGATTTTTCGCCCCCGAATCTACATACATACTAAATTTCATGAAAATCGCTGGAGCCATTTCCGAGATTCCGATTAAATTTCTATCATTTAAACGTATTGGATTATAGCTGTACAAACACACAGATACTAGAAAAACACTATGTTCATCACACAATATTTTTCCAGTAGTGTGGATCTAACTCTCACCCTCTACAAGGACTACACTACGCCAATCGGGTCGTCGTTAATGGTAGTACAGCATCAGTTAACATACCTTCGTAGGGTTTGTAAATTGTATAGGAATTAAAACTAATGGAACGATCAAACAAAATAAACCGCGCCAGTGGTTATATAGAAATAATTTTACTTTATCTCGCCAAGTCGCGGGCGGATCGTCTTCACTGAAATTGATAATAAAATTTTATTGAGATAAATTGCAGTCAGATATAAGATAATTACAATAACGGTGGTATTAATTGTGTGGAAGAAATTAACTGTTGTAGGCCACCGCAGCAACTTCTTTTATTCGATAAGGCAGGCTGGTCCGGGGAAGTATCTCGGCCTCTTAGTACGACCGGTGAAGTGAAAGTACTACACGGCCTTACAAAAGTCGTAAAGTAGAATTGTTGTACCTTTTCGTTTTGTCTGGTCAGTGAGGTAATCAGGGCCCACTATTTTAGAGAATTCAAAGTTATGGTGAATGTCGAAACATTAATCACTAGGTGAATCTGTTAATTTGCTATCTTCTCGTATAATAAAATTAGCTCAAGTTTTGTGTCAGAGTACTATTTAAGACATTATTCCGTCCTTGGATAAAATATTTCTCATTTTGGATTGAGTTTAATGTGAAATTTTCATATAGGTATGATTTTGGCTTTAATGAAAATGATTTATATATAAATTGTAGTGAAGGTGAATGTTATGTAAAAGCCTATAAAATTAAATCCGGCAGAGGTCTCCTCTGTACAGAAAGTCCATCACGCGATCACAACAATGTGCCTTTTTAAGGATTTTTTAAATGTTTTCCTATACAGCAACATCTGATGAAACAATTGATATTCATAATTTTATTATTGAAAACAATTTAAAATGTATTATTCTTTAGATATTTAATGATGTGTTATGCACACACATTTAACTATTTTGTTATATTCAGTAAAGAAAAGAAAATTAAGCACATCATCCAGATTCGATGCTTTCTGTCACTATTACTGGAGAAATTGATATACCTACATAATTATTTTAAAACTTACGAAAAGTTTGATCCTTTTCGAATTGTTAAGGATGGCACGGACACAACCGTATTTTCATCCAGACCTTTAACATCTTCCATAACTATTTACTTTCATATAAACGCACTAAATCTGACAACGATATAGTTTTAGACATATGAAAAATTTGTCAATATTAAACTTTTCTAGATGGCTATGCACTGCGGTAACATTATTTATTTATATATTTTATTTTATACATCAACTTACAACTATCATTACAGGGTGTACCTAATGCGATAATGAAGTTCGAATACAGTTTAAGTTTTTTTTTAATTTTAACAAAATAACTCGTGGTCCGTACTCTTTTTTGATTAAAGTGTTTTTTTTTCTAGTTTCTTTTTGGGCTGTCACCGCCGCGTACACCAACCGGGCTGGTAGTGGTGCAGCAGTGTGTGTGTGTGTGTGTGTGTGTGTGTGTGTGTGTGTGTGTGTGTGTGTGTGTGTGTGTGTGTGTGTGTGTGTGTGTGTGTGTGTGTGTGTGTGTGTGTGTGTGTGTGTGTGTGTGTGTGTGTGTGTGTGTGTGTGTGTGGTGTGTGTGTGTGTGTGCGTGTGTGCGTGTGTGTGTGTGTGTGTGTGTGTGTGTGTGTGTGTTTGCGTGCGTGCGTGCGTGCGTGCGTACGTGCGTGCGTGCGTGCGTGTGTGTGTGTGTGTGTGATAGTGAGTCACCGTAGGATCACAAATAAATTTTCGGTTAAATGATAGTCAAAATTGTGTAACCAATTAAGTAACTTGACTTTTATATCATACCTGATAAGATGTTCCATTTTATTAATTACAACATCTTATTATATACATTAATTTATATACTTATTTTTGATATTTTCGTTATTTCGTAATAGCTGTTATTTCTTTGCTTTGCTAGTCTCTCTGCGACCGCTACGTCTCTGTTGCTAGTTGCCATTTTAAGGTTGTAGTCTCTAAACTTGCAGGTTGTTCCCGCCATTTCTTTTAGGATAAGGCGGCCTGCTGCGTCGTCACAGTCGTCTGTGTAGTAAACACAGCTGACCGTGTGCCGGCATACCGCCACTACGGCATGCTGAACGCTGTAGCATGTAGAACGTGCAGCTGTAGCTTGGTCACTTTTGTACGCTTGAAAACGACTGACCCGTATGTTAGTCCTTGTGCTTCATGGATGGTGAGAACCCGCGAACCGTCGCCCGATCCATATCCTTGGTTGATAAGGGCCTCTTTTTCCGCCTGGGTATAGACTAGGAAAAGCGTTTCTGGACGAGTTTTCTGTATTTGCGCGTTGGAGTATCTTTCGGTACTCAACGAATGCACAGGGGATCTGGAAGATTATATGCCACTGTATATTTCGTTGAGAGCATCTGCTACATCCATCGGGTTCCTATGCGTACACAGCAATTCCTGACTGACGCCTGCTACTAGGTTTGGGCGAGTGTACTGCATTGAAAAGAGGTTTTCCCGGTCAATGTAGGGGAGTTGGTTGATGATCACCAATCAGCAGGATTTCTTTAGCTTCGCTCAGTCGCTTTGCCATCACAATGGCTCCAAAGTGGTTCATAAGGGCTTCGTCGACCATGAGCCGAGTACAGGTCTTCTTGTCTGGCTCTTTGAACCCATTTACCAATACCGAAGCCATTGTGTGCACTTTGGTATTTGCACTGGCGCAGACACGACTAGCAAGCTTCTCGCGAAGATCCTTCGCCGCCTCTATTGTTGTGGTGATTACAACGACCCTCCCTGTATAACTATACTTATAACTAAAACTAATACAAAACACTAAGAACATGGAACGTAGCTAATGTGAACTCGTTCAATGAGCAATGAAATAAATCTAATTCATTAGCTACTGTATTAAAAGTACAAAACGCGCGATTTAATGGCGAAAAACATAATAAATTACTCCGTGACCTAGGTACAGATAATGGCATCGGCCGCCGCCACCTCCTCAAATATCCATCTGGTACGCATAGCCTCATCTGCTGCAATACAATCGGATGATTAATTTTGCTACGCAATGCTACGTTGGGGAGGCTGCCAAGCTCGTGGGGCGCTGTGGCGGACGCTCCATGCAAAATTTCTGAATGACCCGCAGCCGGTTTATTTGCTTCGGAGCAATGTACGCGAAAACCAGACTCGCATACGTCATAATACGGCGAAGTACTGCCTTATTCCGAATTTATTTATTAATTGTTCCGAATGGAGATTTTTGACGTTTTGTTGAGGAGTAGATAGAGGCGACCTACTACGAAGGCCGCCTGGTTCTTGTGCTGGCTGAATTTAAGTTTAGAGTCGAGGACGACACCTAGGTATTTGACTTTGTTCACCCATGGTACCGGGCTATCCATGAGTTTAACGGTAGTTTAATAAGGTAAATTTTTTTGTGTGAGAAAAGGACGGCCGCGCTTTTAGCGGGATTGATCTCGATCCTCCATTGTCGAAACCAGTCACCGATTGTGACGGCCGCAGCTTGGAGGCGTCGATTGATCATTTCTGGTCTTCTGCCTGTGGTATAGAGACAGGTGTCGTCGGCAAAGAAGGCAAGTTCTTCATCTTTAACATGCGGCATGTCATTCGTGTAGACCGTAAACAGGACTGGGCCCAACACCGACCCTTGGGGCAGCCGGGCTCGAACGGGATCCGTTGTCGAACACACGCCCTCGACGCTATATCAAAAGGTCCGATTACTTAGGAAGTCTCGTATTATGCATACGAGATGATCGGGCACTCCGTACCCGTATATTTTGTATATGAACCCGTTGTGCCAGCCTTTATCAAAGGCCTTTGCCACATTTAGGAAGAGTGCTCCGATGTTGAGTCCGCGTTGGCGTTTGGCTAGAATGTGCTCCGTGATGCGGTGCACTTGGTGGGTACATGAGTGTTTGGCTCTGAATTCAAACCGTTCTGGAATGGGGAGCCTTTTGGTGTCCATAAAATATCTTAGGCGGGCTAATTAGCCTTTCAAAGATCTTTCCAAATGTTTTGAGAAGACTTATTGGGCAATATGAGGTTCGGAGGGTAGGGGGTTTCGAAGATTTGAAGAACCCTATGACATTACATTGTACATTGGACATTGTGTTGTATATATCTGTGTTGTAGATATACTAGTATCTGAAGGATGCTAGTGGGGAGGAGTTTGGTCACCTTATTGGTGATACCGTCTGAGCCAGGCGCTTTGCGTGGGCATAATTTGGTAATGGTTTCTGCTACTTCGGAGCATCTCATTCTTATAACGTACTTTACGTATTTTGAGGTTTAAATCATTACGTTTGTAATTATAGTTGAAAGCAAGATTGTTAGTACAATAGATAAAGTATTTTTGTATAAACAAGTTTAGTGTTTGAAAAATTACCCTAAGTCCTTTTGGTGGGCGACTTATTGAGGCCAAAATATATTTTTGTCGTGTTGTTAACGCAATAAACTAGCAAGCTGCAAAACTTTTTTTATTCAAATAATCCCGTGCACTACATACAGTCCATTCTGAACCCTAAAACAACAACATTAAATAAAGACAAATATTTTATACAAACTTTATTACCAATATCAAAAACGTGCCTTGTACACGGCTTACAACAAAGACAAGAGTACACATTGGAGCACACAAGAAAACAACTATCCTCCATTAAAATACAATAACAACGGTGGGGGTGTCGGATTATCGTGCAGCAGGCGGCGGTGGTGGTGGCGGCGGCGGCGGCGGAACGTCTGGGGCGCCTTCCGCAGGTGCTGGAGCCGAAGGCGCCTTCTCCCCGGCTTCAGCCTGTGGACTAGCTACTGGCGAGAAACCTTCACCGGTTGGATCCCAAATTACCGGTGCCCAAAAGCACAGTGCCAGCCACAATACAATTCCACAAATGATGAGGCTAATGAAAGAATACTTTACCTGTAAGTAAATGATAAAATGAAACATTAAATGCTATCCACTATAAATACACTACTATTTTTAACGGATATCTAAAAACTTAATTAGTAACGCGGTAGCTAAGTGTCTGGGCGCTCGCCTATAATTCAATATACTAATATAGAAATTGTTAATTTATAAATGCTTACTTATCACGCGCTCGCCTATAATTCAATATACTAATATAGATATTGTTAATTTATAAATTCTTACATATCACGTGCTCAGCGGTGAAAATATTGTGAGTAAACCTGCATATTTCCAAAATACACACGGTTGACTATGCCCTGACACTAGGTAAAGGAGGTCTTTGCCCATGGGCATTTATAGGCAGTTACTTTACGTTGCGCGGTTGCGGTAATACGTGAATTCAATTGTAAGTTATTAAAAACAGAAAATTAATAATTGATGTAAATAGGTTGTTGATAACTGATTCGAACCTTCTAAATCCTTAAAGCATGTAGAAAAACATGTAGAAGTCTTCGGCATTCGCGGCCTGACGCTTTAGCCACTAAGCTAAACAGCTGATTGCCACACCGACGAAAATTTTTTTGATCTGTCTATATTTTTAGGTATTTAAATGCTAAGATAAGTATTTTTGCCGGTCCTAAGCACCGATAAAGCCATGGAAATTTAGTATGTTAACTATGTCAAATATAAATAATTTGTTATCAATAACTTCATGTTTTACTAGGTATTGTTTGCATTTTCCTATTCTTGACATCATGTCGTAAATAATCAAGTACTGAGTTCTCACAAATCAAAAAAAATTCCGAAGATATTAGGATACAAAATCATTGCCAAGCAGTTGTGAGCGGAGAAGACGCCTCTCTCACCATGCAAAAGCAGAGTCGTTATCATTGTTGTCTTAAGGCCATAAGTTTATTCTTAAGGCCATAAGTTTATTCTTAAGTTATTTTTATAATTTCAGGACAAAAGAAACATTCATAATTTGTTTAATTATGATTTTTTATTTTAACTTCAAATTTGTATATTAGCGAATACCCGATAACCCTATAAAAAGTTTTTAGATATTCATAAAAATTTGTATAAAACACAACATTTTGATTTGAAACTTATTGACAAGCCTAATGAGTTCGGTGAAACACGGATAACAGTTCTCAGATAGTCTATAAGTCGTCAAAGTGATAATATCTATGTATAATCAGAACTGGTGTTTAAATCGTGAAGTGTAAACACTGTTATAGTGGTTACTGATCAAGTTTAAGTTTGTTAAAATATCACACATGCATTGATGTATGAAAGCCGCAAACTAAGTCACCTGGTAACAAACCAACAATACCGAAGTTATAGTGCAGAAGTTTCACTCACCATTTTTTTTATCGGAACTTTTCCAGTTTTACGGCAGAAGTATGCTGGTGTATTCAGAAATGGAAATAAGAACGTGAAGGAGCTTGCAACGCCAACACCAAGAGCACCAAGATAAGCCCTCTTTGGCCAAGGTACAGGTGCGTCAGGTTCCACGGCCTTTGAACGATATAAAATAAGAATCATACATTGATCAAAATCGTTACACATTTAATGCTTAAAATTTGAAGGTGTGTATAAAAAAAAACATATTACTATGTAAGGAATTACTAATGGTTTCTTTTAACAGTATAAAAATATAATGTAACTTGTGAAAAGCATAAAATTTTTTAGGTATATAATAAATAATTATAGTCAAGTTTTATGTGACACCCATACCATACTGATGACAAAAGGCAGGAATATGCAACAGGCAGCTACTCCAGGCATAATGTTAGCGACAATCAAAGCAGCCATAACAACGAGTAGAATGGAGACGTTCCAAGGCTGATTAGTAAATGTTTGTCCTACACCAGCAGCTATAGTATGTGATAGTTTCGTTTGTAATGCATTGACACTAAGGGCAACTCCTGATCCTAAATAAAAACAATTCATTTATTTATTAAAACATAATTGCACATTTAGAGTCTTAAAATAAAGGTTTATGAAATTATGAACAAACGAAGTATACGTTATGTAGCTTTCTGCGCCAAAATCGGCTCTTTTTCTAATACGAGTCGAAAAAGAAAGTCGTTTTAGGTCCGAATCCGTAATCATTATTATGAATTTAGAAGTTTCTTGACATAAAGTAATAATAATGATGTTCTTAATTTGGTGCCTTTAATTCTAACGTTGTATGCTGTATGATTGAATACCAGGAAAAAATTATAATAAGAATGCTGACAGTTGATAGATAGTATTTAAATAAATAAATAATAAACAAATAAATAAATAATTTAGGACACATTTTTACACAACTTCTCTACTCCCAAACTAAGAAACGCTTGTACTATGGATACTAGATAACTGATAAACATACATGAACTTACTTTTTTTTGTATATATATACATTTATAATACACATGAACTAACACATAGATACTGGAAAAACACTTTGCTCATCACACAATATTTTTTCAGTAGTGGGAATCGAACCCAAACCCTCCGGCGCAAGAGGCAGATCATGAGATGTAACTTTATAGTACACGAGTGGTTAGTTTGGCCGTATTCGTAGGCGAGAACGAGAAAATGTTGTAGGCAGAATAGAGAAAAATAGATGGTTTAAAAATTATGAGGGCTACAGATATAACGATATAATTTAGCGTGCAAGAAAAGAAAAATAATAATGTGAATTTGGGTTTATTGTAAAGAGGATGATAGAAATACCAAATGGTGGTTACGAAGGTGTCAGTCAGACTTGTTGAAGCACCGCTTTAAAATAGGAGTACTACAAAAAATGTACTCAACTCCCGCTTTGTTGGCCGACCTCCAACTTGAACGGCAGTAGTGAATGAAATTGTGGAGTTGAAGCCACTAGGTAACTGTACTTCCTTCAGAAAGGAATAGTTGACCAAAAAGAGCGCGAATGAAATGAACGAGTCTTTCTAGCTTGATATAGAAGAAAAGCGCACCAATACTTAAACAGGATATAAAGGATGACTTTAATGGTGTGTTCAGGAAAGATTTCTTTGTGAGGCAGTGTTTCGGATCTAAGCCGTATTTTATTTTACTCAGATGGAATAAAGTTATCGGAGACAAAAAACTTCTTCAACATGTTTTGATTATTGTACTCGTATCGCTTTCTCAAGCCATTCGCGACGCCATTGATCGCCTTTGGAAAAGGTATAAAGTAACCGACAAAGTGAGCATTTGTGTGTATATTACTTAAAATTACAAATTTAAGAAAGAACAAACGATTTACCAAGCAGAAACATATATCCATAATTTACATTTTTATTAACAAAACTCCACCACAGAATAGCAGATTCGGGCTTTATCGGCTTCAGTTCACTTTTCTCTGCAAAATTATTTTAATTAATATCCTTAAAAACACTTTTACCCGTGTGATGTATTTAAATTTTGATAACAACACATAACTTACTCTTTATTGTTAAGTACTTCGTAAATCCAAGTGTTTTTGGTAAAATGTGCAATGAGCAAACGAACAATGCAGCAACTGTAGCATCCTTAATACTGTAACGCATCGGTATTGTAAAATAAAGAATAGGTAAATAAACAAAGACGTTAGTGTGAGTGAAATCAAAATTGTTTGTAAAATCAAGCTGCAACTTCTGTGGCAGAACAAATAAGCTAGATCGACCGTAAGTACCACGGTCTCGTATAAGACGGTCCTAAAGAATTACATAGAAGAAATCAAATTGCGATTCGCTTGTATCATGTGGATATTACCTTCTTAGTAGGGCACATTTTTATGAAAGTGGTATACGAGCTGGCAGTTCGCCTGATGCAAAGTGATAACCACCGCATATGGACATATGCAACGCCCGTAGGATTGATTGCAAATGTTGCCACCTTTAAATAAAGTGCGCCCCGGCTACCTCACTCACCAGACGAAACGTACAGATGTACTTCTAGTTTACGTTTTCTGTAAGGTAGCAGTACTTACCCGAACGGACCTGCGCATTCAACAGTGAACACTGTTGCGTGGCCCTACCACCGGAGAAATGCAGCATTTTTGGAGAAGCTGTGGTTATCAGTTATCATTTTAAATAGAAATGAAAAAATTAACGCAAGCTTACCCAGGTATTTCCGGTGATACTGTTTCTCTACGAAACGTGGACCATCCCATGTTCAACCATTTACACCAACGAAATACAAAAACAAGAAATGCTAAGGCAGTAAAGAAGACGGATGCCTAAAAATTAGGCAAATTATTAAACACATAAAAATAAGAACTTGTCTGTACATGTTTATAGGTCAGTATATGTAGAGTGGTTTCACCAATCAACTCTACATGTTATTGGCGGAAGAATAAAATGTAGTGCAAATATCACCTAAGAGGATTTAAACTGTCGTGCCAGGCTTGGTCCGAAGATGTTCTTTACAGTTATACCTTAGAAAGTTGTGGCTCTGTTGAAGTGTAATAATAAATCGAACGTGGATGTTTTGCACAAAACAGATTAATTAACTTATTTACCTTTTCGTGTCCACCAATTTTCTTTGGCAAAGCGTCTTTTTGTTCTTTAAATGATCTACTTAGTTCACTCATTGCGAACTCACTCATAGGTTTATCAATAACTCTGAAAAATATACTCTTAAATATTAACAATTCGCCCATATTCTAACAATAGTCCTAATAAATTAATGTCAATTTTGAATGATTACATATTTTGCGGTATATTTCCCATACATATTATTCCTTTAAAAGAAAAATAAACAAGGCCGTAGATTTAAAATAAAATGTATTAAACTTACGTGTCTATAAGTAACATATGATAATACACGTTCAGCAAAAAAATGACTAAAGCCACAGGAATAGCGAAGCATGTGTACTGCAAGTAGTTGAAGATATCAGGATACTCCATTCCTTTGGGAACAGTCCTGTATTAGCACAAAGTAAATATGTGTAAAGTATAACAATTTAGCTACCGTCCCCATTGCAGTTTATTGCATGTGCTAAAAAAATCAATTTATAATTATGCATCCAAGCTTTTGTACTTACTTACACCAAATAGTTCGGAAAAATAATATTGAAAATGATGAATGTATTACACCAATGCAACCTAAAAGAATGCAATGTTATTAATATTTTTACATTGTTTTTACCATGAAAAGATCTTTCGTTAATAGCCTTATTTTTTAGTGATATCAAAAATATTTTTTATCTATCATTTAATTCTTTATAACCATTAAATGTCTTTATCAAGTTTTATTAATAATTTTAAATAGATAATTGTTTTTAATGTTTTCCTGAAACTAACTGACACTTACCAATTGACGACGATGTTTGAATAGCATTATTGACTATGTATCGCATTTCATCATAATTTGCTTCGGAGCCCCTGGATCTTGATGTGGCTGACTAAAAAGTGTCAACGTGGACTTAAGTTTGACTATTTTACAAATTTAAATTTTTATAGTGCTAATCTCCGCACTATATTTTCTACAAATTTTAATGTTTGACTATTGTTCTAAATAAAAATTTGATGTTTGAAGCTTTTATGACATTCTCCTACATTTGTGCTAGGCTTTAAAGTAGGCAGTAGAATTATAATAGTCATGCAGCATTAAGTACAAGAGAAATGATTGATACTTCCATTTTAAACGGTTTTATTTAGCTCGACCCGTACGGAATTTGTTTGTTTATTTATTTGGGTCAAAATTAGAAATTGAAATTTAAGCACCTTGCCGTTGTCAGATTGATCTGAAATTTGGTACACACATTTAATTTAGATGCCAATACAATATTAACAAAAAAAAAACAATTTAACAAAATAAAACCGTTTAACTTAAGTTTTTTAAAGTAATTATTTAGTATTAATTTTTTATTTTAGTTCTAGTCTGTGCACTTAAGCTAAAACTTTAATATAATTGAAATTTTTTGTAGATAAATGAATAAATACTTTTGGCGCTGCGGCTTTCGAAACTATCTTCTCGGCGCAAAAGCAGAAGATTTAGAATTGATTCGCAGCGCCGAAACTTTCTGTTCATTTATCAACAAACATTTTCAATTTATAACATACTTCCATTTAAGAAAAATTATATAGCGATCTTTAGCTAAATACAAGAATGATAAATGCCATTCATGATAGCGCTATTTTAAACACGCAATAATTTTAACAATTGTTACTAGACTGATATATTCCTTCACAATTCCAATAGACGGTATATTCCCACAGCCGCAGAATATTTGCAATATGGTTCCGAATCTCTTTTTTTATAATTATATTCAACTATAAGTGGACCAGTTTTCATTTGATCAATAGTCTACAGTTAAAAAAAAGTAGTTACATTTTTTTTTATTTTATTTCCGGTATAAGTGAAATATGGTGTTTATATTAAAACGTTTTTTGGTATTAGTTTCTTTAAGTTTCCGGGTGTTTTTCGACGTAAAAAAAATATAATTAGGTACAGAAAAATCATTAATAAAATACTCACCAAGCAGAATTTGGCGGTCGCTTATAGTTTTCGAGAAAATAAATTATTTAAAACGTAATTTTCACTAAGAAAGTTCACCATTTTTACCAATTTGACTTCAAAAACTGAATACACAGTACCGCCAACATGAAGAATATAGGAAGTGGGTGAAGATTAATTTTCTTTTAATTTTAAGAGTGACAGATCCGACACAGAGCGGTCCGACTCGGATAGGTTAGGTAATTCGCTCCCGCCTTAGCCTTCGATGTAGGCTTTTTTTTATGACCACCCAGAAAACTTTAGTGTAACAGTACTTTTAGTATTTTTAAAGACTTTTTTAATAATGCGAAGGTTATAATTTGGAAAAGTGTGTGAATTCGTAAATTTATACATGTTGTCAAACACAAAATGGCGGATTAATTTAGTGAAAATAACAAGTTTTAAATATATTTTTTTTCTCGAAAACTATAAGCGACCGCCAAAGTCTGATTGTTGATTATTTCATTAGAGATTTTTGTTAACCGAATAAACTTTTTGTTTGGTCGAAAACACCCGGAAACTTAAGGAAATTTTTACCCGTTTTTTTTTCAACTGAGACGAACCTGCAAATTTGTCAGCACTCTTGAAACAGTATCGATTAAGTTCGACGTCACTATAAGTTTATTACACCACATTGATAGAAAGAACGCTGCGGCACTGGCTTTGTAGACAAGCCTAAAATATAAAAGAATACATTCAAAGTTACGCTTACTACCAAGAAGTGGTAGAATGAAAAAAATAACGATCACCTCTTTCCTGAAAACTGCCTTGTGTCACCAGAACAAAGGAACCACGTTGCAATACGACGATCTACTCCTGAATTGTTCATGAGCAAATTAAGCATACCGCCTAATATGAATAAGCCAGTGTTTTCCTGAAACAAGTCAAACCGTTTTGTGTTAAATGTTAACCAATAAATCAAAAAAATTGCGTTCTTACTGTGAAATATAAGTGACATGTCTGGTTGCTACCCATCACTCCACACATAGGTAAAACAAACAACGGTATTAATCCCGAAGCCTCAATAGTTACTGGTTGCCAGAAGAAAGACCACAGCATAGTCAACCACATAAGTTGAACAGTAATATCAAACTGGAAAATAAAACAAAATATTATATATATGAAAACCAGTAAATATTAACATTTACAAGCTTGGTTGACTTATTTAGTAACTTCATATAAGCTCACCTGTCCTAATCCTTTTTGAACCAATATGAAAACTATAGGGCCTATAAAACCAACGAGACCTCGAAAGTGAACCCGACAAATATTATTCAGCCTATCGGTAAAACCACTAATCGGGGTTTGCGGGTCTGGTTTCCTTGAAATATATAATTTCTGTTAAAATCTTTGTAGTCACGTCCAAAAAAAGAAATAAATAACGAACTTACCGCCATGAAAACAGCCTGAAACAAATTAGATAAATTAACATTAAATTTATTGAGTAGGTATATTTTATTTTATTTAAAAATATGAATAACTTACCCCCCCATTTTAGTTAGATTATCTTAATAAATAAGTTTAGATATAATACTCTTATTATTGGTATGACAGCTTTAAGTCAGAACAGCTAAAAACTACTATCATAAAGTTTAATTTAAACTTGGAACTTATTATTTTAAATAGTTTTTATTTACAAAACATATAGATTAAGTGCTTCTACATATTTTCAAAGAGGTATGTTATAACACCAGTATAACTTATTCGATAATATCACTGTTTTAAATAATAATAAAAAAAATTAAATGAAAATTTCATTCGCACTGAAAAGTATTATCACAGGTAACTAATATCTTAAAGATGAATATTTCGTATATATTTTGCATAGATGTGTAATGTTCATGAATAACAATTTACTGAAATACCGAGTAAACTAAGCCGTTAGGGTCCATAGCAATAATTACTCGTAAATTAGTACTTTAATATAATAAAAATAACATGTGAGTGAACAATAAAATAGTGAACTCATTTGTAGAACCTTTTGGTCTATGATAAGGAAGTTTTAATGTAAGACGTAAGTAATAAATTTAAGCAAATTAACAATCTTTTTTGTAGTGGATCATACCTAAGTATTATAAAATTTTGTCGGACTTATCGTCAATCTTAAAACTCTTTGTTGGCTATCTTTATTCAGTGCAACTGTTTGAGAACAGAGCGTTGACATTGGTAGTATAAATGTAGTGTCTTTTAGGTGTCTGTGCTTCTCCATATTGACATTAGCTATTCCAAGTAATGATATTAAATACAAATACGAAGTAGCTGAGACACTAGCGCACCAAAATGAGGGCACTCAAATTACGCCAATTGGTCTAATTAAATTATAACTCTATAGACTGTCTGTTCATCAATTCAATTCTAAAATCTGTTACATTAACTTATATAATGTCATATAATGTAAAGCGGGACGTGTGTATTAATCTTACGAGTATATTAAAACATTTAATATACATTTGACAACAATTGATACCAATTTACATAATCCTCATGCGCGCCATATTTTTATATGTATAGATTCTTAAAAGACATGCCTTTTTTCATAAAAAAATTTTAAATCTTAATGTCATCATACTTTTGATATTAATACATCATTTAGACAAATGGCAGTGTTTATTCAAGGAGTTAAAAATTTCACATCGTTCTTTATGTATTATGTATGTCCATAAATTCGGAAATCACTTTATTCGACAAATGTCCGTACCTATCTCCACATAATATTGATAAATTAGGGTTTAGACAATAAAAGCAAAAGCACAGTCACTTTATCACTGAACGATATGCTTTAATGATGGGGCTCCGGACGTCTGAGTCACACCGGCGTCGTCCTTCGGTATGGATCAGTGCCGACGGCGCGGTCATGGCGCGGGGGCTTTTCACCAGCAGCCTTGGTAGCCCGCGGTCCTGCACCGAAGGTTACCAGTTCCTCTTCCCGCGAAGGCGGTGGCTCCACCGCCGATGTGTCAAGGAATCTGCCGCTCGCGATTGACGCTTGGGATTGAAATATCGATGCACTTCTCAGGCCGCTCAAAGTATTCGCGCTTTGCGGGACTTCCTTGAACTCTTCGAAGTAATTATCGCATGCCGTTGGTCTGGGTGCGGCTGGAAATCCATAAAGTGTTGACGATGACAAGTCTTTGAGTGATGCTGAGCTCAAATTAATTCTTCTGTTTTTATGTATAGAACAATGTGGTATCTCGTCTCCATCAAACACAAAGCGTCGTCGTTCTCCAGGAGTAGCAGCAGAGGAACCTGTCGGTGGATAGGTGTCCCTTTTCATCATGCGCCTTTCTAGGAGTGAGGTGTCTCTTTCTCTAAATTCAGAAAAGGCGTATTCTCGATCCCACGCTCGACAGTCAGCTTTTGCTTTCTCGCATAGCTCTGTTATCCAATCTTTTTGGTACCACTGTAAAAAGAGAAATATTGCCGAGGTACCAGCTAGCTCGGCAGCCACAAATCCACTTAGGTATAATCCGAACGAATAACCATAGCTATACGACATACGCGGTGTATCAAATACTGTCATATACCGCAGCTTGTGTCCCACTTGTGACTTGAATACAGATATGTACATAACAATTCCAGTCAGCATTATTAAACCTGAAAATGACAACAAAGTTTATGATTAATTATTTTGATAAAACTAATGGTAAAATAATAATCATACATAACAGTTTTTGGCAGTTTTTACTAAGACTGGTAAATTTTAAAGAACCAGTGTTGCTTTAGTTGGTGTAAGCGAAAAGTAAGTATAAATTAGTTGTAATTTATTGTACTAGCCTTCGTAAGAAAATCGGGACACAATGAAAGTCATTCTTTTCTACTTGGATTTTTTCTTGTCAACAGTTGTCGTAGAGCATAAGGATTACATAATACTGTATCCATTGATTACTGATAAAGATAAGTCGGGCATAATTATGTATGTTTATTTATTTGAAAAGGCATACCAACTAAACACATACAGATCAATTACATAAGATATACTAAACTTAAATAGTAACCATTTAGATATAATTATACCATGGCATTGAATGTAGATTACTATAATAGTTGTGAATGCTGTTTATGTAAAAAAGTTTGTAACTGTGAATTCTACTGCCAATTCTCGGAACATATAGACATCAGATAAAAGAGAACGACAGCCTTATTTATAGGTAACAATCAAGCAAGAAGATTCTGCTATTGTCGTTTCGTCTTTCTAGCCATATCATAATATCATAATGTTAATTTACAACAAAAAGGTATTATTGCAATAAATGTCGTGTTTGTCTGATGTATAATATCTAATTCTATATATATATATATATATATATATATAATTCTTCTGTACGTGTGTATGTCACTCCTCCTAAAGGGCTGAACCTATTTGAATGATTTTTTATGTATCTTCGTGTGATTCGAGAATGGTTTAGTTTCACATTTTCGAATTTAAGTCGTGTGTTAATATAGAGATTAAAAAATTCATTGGCACAGAATTTCAGTAAGCAGATTCTGAATTACTTCTTATTTAATAGACTACGTTGTTCACTTTGTCAAATAACTAAGTGAATATTCTGTCGAGTCTGTGTTGATCTTTTGAAAATCATATTTTTTGTTCATTTCTTATGTTCCACTATTTTAAATAAGAGGAATTACAGTGATCACCGTTTGTGGCCATTAATAACACAACTTTTTTCCCTTAATTTAATAAAAAAGTAGAAACGGATTTTACCAGAGATAATAAACATAACGCCAGCGATAAAGGTGCAAAGACGTCGGCCCTTAACGCAATGTCCCAAAATGCAAAACAAAGCTCCCACCACTTGTGCGAATACGGCAAGAAGCAATGGAGCGGCTGACCTGGTCACCACATCTGGAAAATCAATTGAACCATATTGAATGATGATCAAGAGCCGTGATAGCTCAGTGTCCGGGCGCTCGCCTTTAATTCAATATACTCGAGCAACCTGCGTTCGATCCCCGGTGCCGGCAACATTGAAGTTTTTAACTTTAAGTGCTGACTTATCACGTGCTCCGCGGTGAAGGAAAACATCGTGAGGAAACCTGCATATTTTCGAAATAATAACAAAAAAATATATATTTCGAAAATATGTGAAGTCCGCCAATCCGCAGTGGGGCTAAGTGGTGGACTATGCCCTGATACCCTCTGTATAGAGGAGGCCTTTGCCCAGCAGTGGGACATGTATAGGCTGTTACTTTACTTTACTTTTTTATATTGAATGAGGCTATCTTTACGTTAATGTGTTTGGTTTTTTTTTGTTATCATTGTAATTACTAAATTTAAGATAGTCACAAAATTCAAAAAGAAGAAATCACTCGTGCAATACAAAAGCAACCTTCAACCTTTGTGTGTATTTAATCTTGTATCTTTCTTACTAAATCATATTCTTATCTTAAGCTCAGTATCAAAGAGATAAGATAATTCAAACACTTTTAAATATAATTAAATAGCTGTAATTGCCCGCGACTTCTTCTGCTTAGAATAGGCTGAAGACGTAACATTCAGACAGAAAGACAGATTTACATAAAATATGTATATAAATTATAGCCCATGTCTTATTTTGATGTATAAGCTATAATTTTTTTTTCTATTTTTTTAACATTGCCCTTACTTTAGGATAACATTATCCTGTGTTGTAACGACATTTTACAAACATAAATTTCACGCGGACAAGCACCCAGATGCGAAACAACTATCTGTGGGCCACACAAATAGTTGTCCCGTGTGGGAATCGAGCCCACGACCCCCGACGCCGAAGCCAATGCCTTGGCAACAACGCCACGGAGTCATCAAAGTACTTACAATAATATTGTAAAGTTTCATTGACATCAATTCAATAGTATTTGCGTGAAAGAGTAACAAACATAACCATGCATAAATACAAAATTTCGCCTTTATAATGCTAGTAAGGATAAATGCCATCATATTTTGGTGTGGCATAAAATAATAGACAAACCGCATTAAGCGTAAAATACTTGTAAGTTGCCTTAACTATTATAATTAATATTGAAATACATATTTAATAAAAATTATTTCCCATTTCATTCCTTACTATACTTACTAAGTTTTTATGTATAGATAGATGCTTGTTACTCTTCCACGCAAATACTTCTGAATGGATATTGTTGAAACTTTACAATAATATAGCTTATACATCAGAATAAGTCATAGGCTATAATTTATGTACATATTTTATATATATCTGTCTTTCTGACTGAATGTTACGCATTCAGCCTATTTTACGCAGACGTAGTCACGGGCAGCGGCTAGTCCTTACTTAATATTATAAAGGCGAAAGTTTCTATGTATGGATGGTTGTTTGTTATACTTTCACGCAAATAGTACTGAATGGATTTGAATGAAACTACAATAATATAGCTTATACATCAGAATAAGACATAGGCTATAATTTACACACATATTTTATGTATATCTGTCTTTCTGTCTGAATGTTACGCCTTCAGCCTATTCAACGTAGACGTAGTCGCGGGCGGCAGCTAGTATAATATTATAAACGCGAAAGTTTGTATGTATGGATGGATGTTTGTTACACTTTCACACAAAAACTACTGAATGGATTTTAATGAAACTTTACAACAATATAACTAATGCATCATAATAACACATAGGCTATAATTAATAAAGATATTATGTGAATTACGCAAAATATAGCAATAAGTGTCAAGTAAGAGGGAAAAAATTCTGCCATATACGAGCTATTCTGGTGTATAATAAAAAAAACTCAATGTTAAATCCGTTTGACCGCGCGGGCGAAGCCGCCTTTAACAGCTCTAGTATCTGTATAATATAGGTATATATACATTTTTATTAATAAGTCTATTGGTTTTATTTTTAAACAAAGAAGAGAATGCTATCAGTTCAGTTCTTTATTTAAAATAAAAATAAAACCAATACCAAAATAAAAAGAACCAAAGTTATATAATTGTAGAAATACTTTATGCTATAAATATGTTTTTAAATAAATCACTGAGTGATTTTTTACGTTTCTTGATAATTTTACATTTTTGTGAGAAGAGGGCAAGCGCTTACAGCTGCCCATAGACAATTCTATGGTATCATTATGCGCTATTTTGTGAGCCTATGATTATACTTATAACGTATAAAAATGTTAAAAGAACACCTTACATGGTATAGCGTTTGTAGAATCGCTCAGGTCTGGCGCATACTGAGACAAGGGAAAATATGGTATATCCAAACACCGGAATACCGAACTGCCAGCTGAAAGATAAAAAATAATATTGGTTATTATATAATGTTACATATTAGATTACATATTAATGTTACATATTATATATTATATATTAGAAGTCACGTAACTATAATGACATAGGGAGCATGCATAAAAATCAGTAAATTTCTATTTTAAGTTAAAAGTGAAACTAAAATCAGTGAGTTTGATGAATGAAAAGAAAAAAGATTCAGAACTTTAAAAAATAAATCAATGAAGCGCGGGCGTAGGCACATTGTACAATGAAATACATATAACTAGTACAAATGGGCCGACAATAACGGTCACTATGGAGAACTTTGTAAAGCTGCGAAAAGTGGGCCGAGTGCGGACTGTGCAATGTGCCACACAATGCACTTCCTGTCCCGAATGACGGAAGTGATGACGCATTGTATGAGCGCGTCATGTGGAAGTTTCCTACGTAGTTTTATTATAAGTTTTATTATAAAAAGAAAACGTATGACGCTATGCTTCAAAATTTATGAAAGGCAGTTCCATTACAAAGGTAATGTGTTACATTACTTAAACGTGGAATGTTGAAACCGTATGACAGCCGGAAACAGCGTATAGTAAAATTATGGCTATGTTATCCTATGTAAAGACATGGGTTGACTGGTCGAGAATTCCTTTGGGCATTAAGTCCGCCCATTGTTACCTTTTTCTTAAGGTTAGCAATAAGGCGTAAATAAGTAAAAAAATAAAAATAAATAAAGAACCGGAAGATACGAATGTGTTTGTGAAACATTAATTGACATCTTTCATTTTGGCGTAATTATTACTTAGGTTTCAAGAAGAAGGTTAACACGAAACATTTTTAAGTTTGTTACATCTACTCGTATAAAAAAAACCACGAGACCACGAGTAGGATTGATGAATATAAATATTTATCTTGGTTAATATTCAAGTCTGCCTACTAGAGTCTATGAAATATATTTTAGTCCAATGTTAGTAATGAAATGAGATAGTAGTTAGTTTTAAGCGCGCTAGTTTCGAAGAAGCCTTTGAATCCGGATGGAGAGATAGCCACAATTGTTTCACACCTTTGTTTTTCCTTTGATTTTGCTCTTAGCTCAAAAAATATTATATTAAGTATGAGAGAGTATTAAAATTAAAATGCTAGGTTTAGTCTAATGGGCCGTGGGTCGTGGGTTCGATTCTCAAACGGGACAATTATTTGTGTGACCCACATATTATTGTTCCAGGCAAGGGGAGGTTGACGTCATTCAGGCCTGCTGGTCGTTGAAAACTAAGCCAAAACCACTTACAACATGATTCACATATTGTGGCGACCGCACCTAACTGGGATAAGGGCAGGGGGATGATGATGGTTATACAATTTAAAGCTAAGTAAATCATAAGCACAAAAGAGAATACTAACGTTCTGTGTGACATATTCGCCAAAGTCCTGATACTGTGTGTTTCGCCACTAGCGCATGTCTCCCGGTACCGTTGTAGAGTGGATTAAGCATATTTTCTTCAGTGTGTAACCAGTTATTGGTCGAAACGGCAACCAAAACTGCAACCACAGCTGTGCCAGCTGACAATGGAGTGAGGAGCCAAAGACACGCTACTGAAGAATCAATTTTGGCTACTAATGTGGGTGATGGCGGTGTTGGCCTGAAAAAAGAGATACAAGCATATAAAGATTTTGTATGAAATATGTTGTTAAAACACGTGCTGCTTTCCGACCATTTTTGTTATTATTAATTTCATAACTGGTAAATAAAGGTGAGTAACATTTGGAAATTTAAGGTGTAACTGTACTGATAAAATAAAGAGCCGCATATTTTGGCAAAATTTTAATATCAAGCTGGTTCTTGTTATCTTTGAGTTATTGTACGTATTTGCGAAAGGTTATGCTTAGATGTGAACGTTGCCGGTATTTGCCCTTATCATGCAGTATTGAATTATAACAAATAATATTCCAAGGCATCATGGTGTCCACAGTGTGTATCAATGACAAAACTGGCTTGCAATAAAGTTGCTATATCGAATTAGCCAAATTAGTGTTGCGTGTCAATAAAACCCATTTAACCACTCTCCCTCTTTAATTTTATTTACAGTTTCAGAGAAAATCGAACGTAGGTGACTTTTTTTATTTTTATTTGAAACGTTGACGAGTGATTACCTGAGGGGTTGCATAAGCACTGCCAATTATTAAAAAAGTGAGATCCGGTTACCTTAATCACTAGGCAAAAGGCGAAAGTATGGCGGTAAGAGGCTTTGTTACTTCCCCGAATGAGTCTGTCCACTTACACAACTCCATGGTAGACATAGGCTTAACTTCAGTGGCTCAGTCAGTAATGACGATCGATTGATTAGTTTCTTACATTGGGATTCATCAAAGGTGACTGTTACTGTTTACCTGGGTGGGCGACGGCTCGCAATGGCGCCACTGAGTGTAGGAGCGGGCTGCGCGCGCGACCCTCGTGGTAGCGAGGCGTGAACGCTCTGCACGCCGCCGCCCCACATACCTTTCTTTGGTTTCACTGTAACAACGGTTTTTAATTAAGATCGAGTGACAAACGCCTCACCTAATTCAATTTTTTTTGTTGGTACAATAGAAATTCCATAGTTCTTCATCAAATTTATTGATTCAAACACTTTCAATTTTGATGACTCCGGGCAGTTGCCATGGGACAACTATTTGTGTGACCCACAGACAGTTGTTTCGCATTTGGGTGTTTGTCCGCGTGAAATTTATGTTTGTAAAACGTCCTTACAACACACGAAAATATGATCCTAAAGTAAGGGCAATGTTTTTTAAATAAAAAGAAAAGAAATAAAGAAACACCATTTTAAAGCTTATGTTTGCCTGATATTGAGCGAAAATAGGAGATAAGGGTAGATGTTGTCATGTTAAAAAATATCTGGTATAAACATTTCTAACCAAGCATGTATGATGTCATCTATTGCAGTTAAATTATTAACAAATATTGGGAGAAATAAAATATATTATTATTATTTGTTTAAATGAACATGGCGTAGTAGAATGAAAAACATTATTTATTTAAATAAGGTACCTTGCATTGATCAAAAATTATTAACTCACTATTATACGAGTATCACTGTTCGGTGACGGATTACGGTAATTGTGCGACAATTTCGCACTGGTCAACTAGTCAAAGTGATAATTTTGTCTTAAGTTAGTTAACCAGGTTGTCATTGATCCTGACAACCTTTATAAGTTAAGGTTAAAAACAGACGCTTAATTTACATATACAGTAGGAGATATCTAAATACGCTGATGAAATCTTTGCGGGGCAACCACCGAATTTATTTGCTTACATTTTTAAATAAATTAAAGGCTCAATAACAAATACTTTCACTCTCCCTTATACATGAAAAAAGGTTCGCTGGATGAGCAGAGCCATATATGGAACAGCAAAAAACTTGTAGTAGCTATGAAATTTGTGTAAATAAATATTTTAAAATGCAATTAAACATTGTGATATTAATTATAAATAAATAAATTAGTAAATTATAGTGATATTTGTGGGATTAATACCTCAGGTTCATTAAGTTGAATTTTAACCAGGTATCTGGAAACTGTACGTTATTGATTTGTAAAATAATTTTAAATGCCACTAGTCATTAATTTAATCTTCACTGTAGATTAACGATTAAGAACAAATTTAACTTTTTAAAATGAAAGTAAATTCTAAATCACTTTTGTTTTTCTTATTCACACTCTTATCTTCAAATTTATTAACTTGTGGATACCATTCCCGTATTAAGGTAGTCTCATAGACTGCAGACGTTTGCACAAAGGCATTGAATTCTTGGCACAGACTGCATCTACAAGTTGATAAAGTTAGTTTGAAACGTGCTGCGCATGGAAACCTAATGGCTGAACATTATTCTTATCCACCGCCATAGTTACAGCGCACACAAATGACCATCGAGCGAAGACTAATAACCAGATATCACTTTGCTTGTTTGAAACTACCATAAGGAAATTCACTTGTATGTTTGTACGATTAAGTTAAATTGCCATGACCGCTTGAGCAGTTTACGCTTACAGCTTTGGCAGATTGAAATAATGACATTGTTACTCTTCCAATTAACGGGAGATATTTTAATGTGAAAAGGTGTCAAGAGAGATACTTCTTCGGGCGAGTCTGCATATTTGTATAACAGCAAAGATTACTGCGTGGCCCTACCACAGCGTATAGATTCTATTTAAGACTTAATGTTTACCAATTTCTATTTTTAAATTTGTGAAGCTAAGGTTATTTGGAGTAAGTACACGTCATTAAAGTTAAATTAGAAATCATTTTTATAAAGCTTCTCTTACCATAAAATTACCTAATTATTTTGGTTTTGGTAATTAGTTAGTGTGAGAAAAACAACTACATTTTCTAGTCATGAGAAGCCTGGTAAATAAGGTTGTTTAGATTAAACTGTATTAATCTCATGACAAGCTGCAGTATTGCAAGCAATGCCGCTAAAAATTACAAAACCTGGAACTGTGAAAACACTGGTAACAATCTGAATCTAAATCTCTTCCAAAATTTACCTACGTTCAGATAAGGAACGTAATTTACAGCTCGAATATACCTAGTGTATCAAACATATTTTATTACAATGCGACGAGTCGACTTGGAATTACATTTTACCTTTTGTAAGAGTTCACTTTAAATTCAAAAGCTCGTTTTCCAACGAAAGTACCTTTACGCATGAGCACTCAAAACGCGTTATTGTAGTGAAATAACATAATATGTGACAATAATATCATACATCAGTAACGAATTTATATATAAGCTGACAGCACAAATTAATTTTCTTAATAACTCGAACTAACAAATCATAACTTAATTATTTCTAATTAGCTATATCACCATATTGTGTCTCTTGCGAGTTGTCAACTCAAATGTAAATTAACGAAAGTTCAGACTGTTGGATTAGTGATACATGTTAATCTATTTTTAACGACAGTTTATAGCAACTTTCTGGCATATGGCATACAACGCTTATAGCAAAAAAATTAAGATTCTAAATAAAACATACAGTATGTTACACCACTAACAGAATTGATTTAAATTTGAAAGCTAATATTTACATACACATCATACTTGCATAACTTAGTATTGATGTAAGGTACATCACAATACGTAAAATTTATGAATAAAATAAATTTAAAATAAATGAATCTAGTATAAAAATAATGAGAAAACTTCATCAGACTTCATCAAATATTTCCCATTTTAGAAATAAGTTCATGAATCTAAATTCAAACGATCGATAAAAATAGATATCTCATGATTACGCCTTTTTGTTATAATAAACTAAAGCTTTGAAAAATTCAGAATCTGCCATTGTCTGAATCCGAGATTAACGTAAAAATCATTTCACCCTACACGTTCTACATGAATAAAAAAAACGATAACTTGTTTGTATTACCTGAGCAATAAAACGCTGAGGTCGTTATTTATACATGTAATAAATACATAACTGATCGTTGTCTTTACATGGAACATATTTAAGGAAGATTATTCTAACTATATCATCGCAATACAACCCAGAATAATTATTGTTAAAGTATTTGTCCGTCTGTCTGTGCGTTTGTGCGTGTTAATCTCAGAAACGGCTGAACCGATTCGGGTGCAACTTTCTCTAATGTATTGTAGTAAGCTTCACTTAACATTAGAGTTGGTTTTATTTTAAACGATTCATAAATAAAAAATAATATCACCTTAACCACATTGAAGATTTATGCGATATAATGCTATTTAATAGCAACAGTTGAATTGGATGTAACTATAGCTATAAGCCGCTATAAACTATTATGGTCTGTAAAATGATGATGATTGTAACGTTATATAAAATTTAAAAAAAAAGGGCCAAGTGCGAGTTATTAATTTAATTAATAGTTCTTTTAGAGGGATAACCATTTTAATAATTTCATTTTATTATTATTGTCTTCTAAGTTAAAAAAATAAATATCAATTAATTCCTATTTAGTTTTCTTATAATATAACTAAGATCAAATAATATGTGTAATATTTGGAGTGAGTGAATCTAAAATATTAAGTTATTTAGATCACTTAGCATCATTTAGCAATTATTTTATGAACAGAATACTATCGTAATAGATTATTTCTATATTGAAGACCCGAATGGCGTAGTGGGTAGTGTACCTGTCTCCTGCCCCAGAGGGTGTGGGTTCGATCTCCAATACTGAAAAAATATTGTGTGCTGAACATAGTGTTTTTCTAGTGTCTATATATTTACATATTTATAATATGTGTGTTATGTAAAAAACAAAAGTATGTTTATTAGTTATCTAGTACCCATAGTACAAGCTTTGCTTAGTTTGGGACTAGAAAACGTTATGTAAAAATGTGTCCTAAAATATTTATTTATTTACAATACAAATAAGGCAAAAATTTGTTGAAAAGTTTAATTTGCAACACGATTCACGATAACTCCACGACTACTTTGACAGTTATAATATCACACACTCAAAGTTTACACCTGTTTTTAAGACGACGCTCTCCTTTCCTATCTTGATGTTAATTATTTGACTCTACTTTGGAATTTAATGTTTAAGTGTGCATAGAAATTGTAATAATAAATGGGATACGTCCAGAATATATTAATTTTTATCATATAAGTCTTCGTTGAAATGGAATATGTTACGGACTTAAATATTTGTCATCATCTTAAAATCGTTTTATGATTCTATAGTATAATATATAGTATCTGAAAATTATAAACGCATTATATGAAGTGTTTGATAACTCTGAATATTAAATAACTCTCAAATAGCTCAGTCCTATTGGACCACTATTTAGCCTATAGGGTATTAAAGGGAAGTGAAGCACGGAAATTAGAATGTTCCATCCAATCTATGTAGACAAGACAAACGGCAAATGGCAATCCCTTGGGATAAAGTGACCGGCGAAAGTCTTTGAATTTATGACCTCTGTGTGATTTAGTCTGTTTTCATGTTAGAGCTATACACATAAAAATTGGTGTATAATTTTTATGTTTTAGATGTATGAACATACGCCGAATATAGAGTAAAAACTAAAGTCTGGACCTACTGCCCGTTAATTAGATATATAATATTAAGTACTTGTTTGTGTTTACATCACATTCATTAGCGATGGAATGACTAAATGGTCAGTTAGCGGTTTCCAATTAGTGAATTAATTTTATTGTGCACTTACTATTAGAGATGTAATTTAACACACGTACATACGATATTTAGTTTGTTCTGGGTTAATTTGTTTTTACTAGACCATAAATTTGATATTAACATTAATATCAAACCTTTAGTCGAGTTAAAAACAAATTAAAGTTAAATCGACTTCTAATTAATGTGAGCATCTAACACAAAATTTGCTTTCTTGAAATTCACATTAACAAGAACTTGATTCGTAACTTAGTTCAAACCGCAATCCCGCTTAGTGTGAATTTAGAGTGCTTAATCCTAGTGTAGGATCAAGGAAATGTAGTCAAGTTAG